CCCTCCCAGTGTAGGCTCTTGCAACTAGCCACCAGCCATACTTGCCGGATGAATAACAACTGCGCTGCGCCCAGAACCCATTGGCTTTTGGTCCTACCAACAAAGCTACAACAGTTTACATGGGCTTCCTGCAATCCCCACTAACCCAAGTAACATGGGCGATGCTCAATTGAATGGAGGCTTTCTGAAAACACCCTGACTCGGCCTGGACTTTTGACACAAACCCTCCACGAAAAGAAGAACTCTTCTCTGTGGGTGTCCACTTCCATTCAAATCTCAACCCTCTTTCGAAGAGTCTGTCTCAGAAGGGCCAGAGCAACTGGCAAGTTTGGACTCTTTCAATAGTTGTGTGTGTGTGCGTGTCTGTGTGCTTTCTCAAGGTACCTTTTCAGGCTGGCTTACAGGAAACCAACAGGAATGCCACCACTTTGCGGTGTCCAAATCCCGTTTTGACACATGCCCAGATCGCTGTCAAGCTGTGGACCCTGCAAAACTTGAGGGTCTTAAGGAAAACATTGCCATCTTGCCAAACTCATTGATTTTCTTCGGGATGGCTACGGTGCCTGGATGGGGGAGTTCGAACCCGGGCCGTTCCAAAACAAGAAGCCTCACCGGTGGCGGCAGCGCAAGCGACGTGCCGGTCATCTAATTTCAAACATTTCAAAAGTGCTGCTAGACTCAAAAGTCGCGGGCGTGTTTCTGGCCAAACGGCTCCCAAGAAGAACCAAAGCACTCTGATTTCCTTGTTTGACCCAGCCTTTTGCCTCTCGGGCTGGGTCGCAAAACAAGAAGGGTTGGATTTTGGCCGCGAAAACAGCACGCCCAAAGCAGCGAGGCAAAGAAAAACGGCGACGAGCGGTCCCGGCGCGGCCTGATCTGTGGGCTGCATGCCGGTGAATTTCAACAGGCTCATGCCGTCTGCACCGCGCTAGCGTGCCTGGTCCCTGATTGCGTCTCTCTTTCTTGTCTCTTGCATCGTCAAGTGCTACTCACTGTTAATCCATGATTCATGGAACCTTCTGGTATGCACTTCCGACACTTGAGTAGATATTTTTGTCTGTGAACCCTTGAGTCCACAACGTATGAAGTGAGGCTCGGTACATTCCTTGGATCAGCGGCTTCCTAGCGCGGACAGCGTCGCTCAATCGTGAGGGGAGGCCAGGTCGAATTGGTAGGACGCGCCCAGAGCGCACACAATGTCCAGGGCCGACAGCACGCCTGCCGTGCCAACATTTCCCGTGTGCCAAAACTACTGATAACCCTGGTTTCTGACTCCCCAACGTAAACACCAACAAACGTTACGGCTTCAACCATGGATTCAAAGTGGTGCAGGATTTCGTCCATCCGCAAGGGCCCCTTGCTTACACCGTGAAAGTAGACAACAAAATGCCCCTGGGTAAGTGGAGCAAAGCAAGCAGCGACCTGAGCTGAAAGGCCCAATTCCCCTGAGGCCGAAGAGGTTGCTCCCTATAGTGTGGCTTCGGACTGCGAATCCATTCCCCGCACTCAGGCTTAGAGTATGCCTCCAAAACCCACCTCAAGGAACCGAATCCTCGGATCCTAGGCGCCCAGTTTTAGGCGAGCCTCGAGGCTGTTTCGGGATCTTCTGTCCGGTGTTCAGAATCCGGACCGTAGGGTGATTCCCCTTTTAGTAAGGAAACGGGGGGTGTCTCAACATATCCAAAGTGGGTGGTTTCTTTCTGGTTCTCCTTCTAAACCCCACACGGATACCCTCAAAAAAGGGCACACCCAAATCAGCAATTCTGCTCTATTCCATTTTGCAAACCCCTTGTTCTCTGAACAATCCATCCCACGCATCCCCATCCCCGCATCTGCATCTGCACATCCGAGGCCTACCACCTCCCTGCTTTCGTCCACCACCATCAAGTGGTGGAGCTCCTTTTCGCACATCTCCTCCGCCGCCTCCGCCAGGCTAGCGTCGAAGCGCACCGACCTGAAGAAAAGAAGAAGAAACAAATAAAAGGCGCAGGCTCGCGCCTTGAAGCAAGTGCCGAAGGACCGGTGCACCAACCAAAGCTTGGTTGCTGTTGACTCCTCTGCAACAAGTTGTTTAACTTTTTGTGGGTTTAGTGGAAAACCCAACTTGATTTCTGCCAAAAGGTTTAAGTTTGAAGATCCAACCCAATAGCAGTCAAGACAAAAAGGAAGACACCCTGGCGCGCATGTCCGGATGCCGCGGTCATGCACCTCCTGGGATCGTAGCTTTGATGCACTTTCGCAGAAGAAGAAAAAGAAGAAGAAGAA